TTGCCAAGTTGCCTGGGCGGGTCTCGAACCTGCGGGCTCAGGCAATCCACTCCCCTTAGCCTCCCAAAGGCGCGGGATTACAGGCTGAGCCACCGAGTCTGGCTTAATTTTTATACAAATAATTAAAATTCTATGTATAAAAATTGATAGCCAGGCACGATTGGCTCATGCCTGTAATCCCAGCTACTTGGGAGGCCGAAGCAGGAGGAGTTTAAGACCAGCCTGGGTAACACTGCAAGACCCTGTCTTTAAAAAAAAAAAAATATTGAAACATTTCAGAGAAATCTAATAACCTCCAACCCCCTCCAACAAGTCATTTATTTTAAGCCTCAGTAAGTATAGTTCTCACTTAAACAGTCAGTGACCCAGGACATTAATAATTCTTGTCATCTCTACACTTGACGTTTAAATAATATTGAACCAATTTTAACAAATTTCACTATTAAGATATGTTCTGGCAAAGGGCTACAGCTAAATTTGAATGAAGAATTCTAACAATGAGACAATGTCAAGCCCTCAGAGCATAAGAGGGTAAATTTTCAGAAGGATCCCCTTTTCTGACTAAAGGCTGTTCTAAGCACAGCCACTGAAGAAGGGCACTCTGAATTCAGACCCTCTGGGTTAGAAGGGATCTTGGCTCCATCATTTTCTGTTTCTATGTCCTTGGACAAGTCAGCTAACTTTTCTGTGTTTCAGTTTCCTCATTTTAAAATGGGGACAACAGTAATACATACCTTGTTGGGTTTCAGCAAGGATCACATGAATATATAATATGTAAAAGACTTAGAACTATACCTGACACATAGTAAATTACATTCATGAGCTATGATCTTATTATGAATGTTTCTATGATGAACACAACTGTTTCATGGAAAAACAAATTTTTTCTTAATAAATCTGAATCTAAATTTTGAAAGTCACCTTTTAAAAAAAGGCTTTTACCTGCATAATGAACATTTGTATACCTAACCTTGAATTGTACCCCACATCTTTAAAATTTAAAAAAATTTATTTAAAAAAAGGTGTTTTTTTTTTTTTTGAGTTGGAGTCTCACTCTGTCACCCAGACTGGAATGCAGTGGCCCCTCCCGGCCACCGCAGCCTCGACCTGCTGGGCTCCGGCGATCCTTC